CAATAGTTTTGAAAAAAATTGCGTAAAAAACAATGCGAACCTTTCAAATACCTTATATCGAAAATTACTTTGCTTTACTAGGAATTTTGTAAAGTACCCGGCCAGCCTGTCATTCTTGACAGCCTGACTAAGTGTTACTTAGCTTGTTAATGACAACTTTATTAAGTTATTAATTGTATTTTATTACTAACAATAAAAAACAACACAACACACTAGTAATTGAGGCAAGGGGTGGGTGAAAGTATTGTTAAATCGATCGTCGATGAACATAAATCAAAACTAGTTCCTTATTTAATGGCATAATAGGCAGGGGTATGAGTGACACATACACATTTTCTTAGTGTTGCTACAGTTTTGCACACACACACACCCATTCCCCCAAATGACAAATCCGTAAAATTCTTAATAACATTTTTTCTACGTCCTTGAGGCTTTTCCATTATCAACGCTAATGCTAAACTTTCTTTCACTGAGAAGATTAAGACGGCTTAATTTAAATTCTATAAATAGCAGTTCCGGTGTAAAACGATGACGATTATGATAAATAAATATCTCTTTTGTGAATTCATCCAAATCATTTGGTTTGGAATTTTACGTTCGCCTATTACTCATGCCTAGAATAAATGATACAATTTTCAAGATCTCCTCTGTTTCCGTTTTTTTGCTTTGTGCGAAATTCAGCCAATGAAACATTTTGTGGATTGATTTAAATCTCTTTACTATGATAGTCACATACTTTGGGGTGGATCTTTATTAATTGATCACACAATTTGTTAATGAAGAGTCATACTCATCCATTGTTGCTACGCAGGAGGTGTGATTTTTTAAACTATTATTTAGATTTTAGTTGAAATATAAACATATAATTAAACCAGTGAGCGGAGCAGTATAGTCGGACGGGGCCGACCATACGATACCCTACACAACTACCACGGAACTCAAAAGTTCTGCGGATGTTTATTCCGAGCCTGAGCAATATTTCGTGATATTTGCACCCTCTTGCCCGATTAGAGGTAAACAGCACATCTTCCTCACACTGACATATTTTCCGAATATTACGAGTATTCAGTACAGCTATTGTCCAGATTCCCTTCACCGTGGGTTGTGTTGTGATGTTCGGCTTTCATTTGTGGTCTATAGATCGACTCTAAAATAACACAAAAAATTAAGTTTTCGGTCCACTTCATTCCAAAATTATTATCTGATCATCTCCGAAAATTATAGGCGTTGTCCTTGGCCATAACTGGAACCTCATGGAACATTTTAAAGCGATCAGCGCTATATTTCCACCCTCCAGTGTGATAATGGGTTACTAAATAATATACGAATACGGAGATACCTGTAAATATTTAGATGTAACGTTCACATCAGAGCACATACAACAATATAATTGGTTTTAATTTAAAGGTAAACCACTCCTCTTGGATATAATATCAACTTCTCGGGTCTACGTCCTTCAGGGGTAAATATATACGCTATAGAATACAAATTTTGTCATTTTTCACACAAAAGTCAGGGTCCATTTGACCCACTAAATATTGACCGATCTTTATCAAAACAGGCATGCTTATTTTTTGGCCCGATACCCTTGTCCATGCAAAATTTCACGATGTTCGGGCCATTATTGCGGCCTGTGGAGCGACCAGAAAAACCGACAAAAATTTAGTATTTGGTCCATTTCATCCCCTAAATATTAAGCGATCTTTCCCAAAAACAATAGGGGTCTTCATTGGCCAGAACCCATACTACATGCAAAATTTCGTGAAGATTGGTCCATAACAGCTAGTCAAAATATGACGATCGGTATACTTAAAGGTGGGTCTAGGACCAATATTTCGCGGCGTTAAAAATTCTTGGGGCTGCTCAAAGCTATAATACCCTGACAACATAGTTGTGTAGGGTATAAAAATACAATCACCAAACAAAAGACTTAAGAAACAAGAGTCAATTAACGAAATTAGTCGTTTAATGCGACAGTGAGATATATGTCTGGAATTTTTGTTTTGAATTACTAAGTGTGGACAAACAAAAGATTTAAGAAACAAGCACCATTATTCATGGAGTAATAATCTGCCACCATAAGGAAAACAATTAGTTTGAATTTGTTTAATTCATATACCATACCTAACAGTCTCAGAGCTTCTAAGATATAACAAAATTTGGAATCTGCAGGCATAGTAATAACAGGTTATCAATTTCGTGGTTTAAAAAGTTAATAAAAAACATATAAAATATTTTTTTTCGTAACATATATATTTATACCCTACCCAACTATGTTGTCAGGGCATTATAGCTTTGTGTGGCCCCAAGATTTTGTAACGCCGCGAAATAGTGGTCCCAGACCCACTTTTAAGTATACCGATTGTAATATCTCGACGAGCTGAGACGATCTAGGCATGTGAATTGGTCCGTCTGTCCATTATAATTTGTAAGCACGATACAGGAAACAGTTATGGACCAATTGACACGAAAATTTACATTTAGGACGTTAATATTAACCCTTTGTGGCCCAATGTTGCCCACAGACAACAAAATGTTTTAGAGCTTATATTTATTATACATCTAGTAGATATTCATTCTTTGGATTTCCTTTGTCATGACCTGATTATGGACGACACATATCACAAAAAATCTAAAAATTTCAAATTTTTGGTAAAGTTATGAGCCTTTTAATACAGAGAAGAGGCCAAAAATGTGTACAGTACTAATTTGTGTATACAGTCTAAATTATTTAAATCGCTTCGTATTCGAAATGTACGAATTCTGTTATCGGAATTATTTTTGATTCTTAGAGAATAATTTATATTGATTAGAGAATAATTTATATTATTTTTTCGTCGATTCTGTATTTGACTTTGTTGATATTGGGTTTTTATTTGTCAGAAAGAATGTACTGTATCTCCCGAATGCAAGGATATAGCGATGTCAAATTTCGTCCATATCCTATATAGGATAGTTGCATTAAATCTGTGAGCAGAACATTGTTCTATGATTACGGAAAAAATTCGGGGCTCAAAGGGTTAATATATTAAGGGGATGAAATGGACCAAAAACTTTATTTTTGTCTGTTTATACCCTTCACCACACTGTGGTACATTGTATTATGTCTTTGTACATATATGTTTGTAACAGGCAAAAGGAAAAGAGGTAAACCCATGGTTCCTTTTGAGAATATACATAGAATCACCTTCTGAGTCGTTTTATGCATATCCATCCATCCGTCCGTCCGTTCGTCTGTTGATGTTAAATTGTAAATAAAGTACAGGTCGCATTTATCATCCGATTTGGATGAAATTTGGCACAGCTCATTTATATGGCCCAAGGACGAACCTTATTGAAATTGGGAAACATCGGTTCAGATTTAGATATATCTTTCATATATAATTTCGTCCGATTTAATATAAATGATGCACCAAAGTCCCTATATATCTTTCGATTTGCACGAAATTTGGCATAGCAAACTGAAGTAGGCCTAGAATGAAGTACGTAATGTTTCGTGAAAATCGGTTCAGATTTAGATATAGCTCCCATGTATATTTTCGGCCGATTTAATGTAAATGGTGCACCAAAGTCCCCATATATCTTTCGATTTGCACGAAATTTGGCACAGCGTAATGAATTAGGTCTTGAATGATGTGTGTTAAGTTTCGTGAAAATTGGTTCAGATTTAGATATAGCTCCCATATATATCTTCATCCGATTTAAAGTAAAATTTAAAATAAATAGCGTACTAAATTATGTCTAGAATGGTGTGTGCTAAAATTCATGAAAATCGGTTCAGATGTAGATATAGCTCCCATACATATTTTCGTCCGATTTAATGTAAATGGTTAACCAAAGTCCCTAAATATCTTTCGAATTCCACGAAATTTGGTATAGCACACTAAATTAAGTCTAGAATGATGTGTGTTAAGTTTCGTGAATATCGGTTCAGATTTACATAGATAAAGCTCCCATATATATTTTCATCCGATTTAAAGTAAATTGTGCGCCAAATTCCCTAAATATCTTTCGATATGCACGAAATTTGGCATAGCATACTGAACTGAGTTCCGTGAAAATCGGTTCAGATTTAGATATGCCTCCCATATATATTTTCGTCCGATTTAAGGTAAATGGTGCGCCAAATTCCCTAAATATCTTTCGATATGCAAGAAATTTTGCATAGCGTACTAAATTAAGTCTAGAATGAGGTGTGCTAAGTTTCGTGGAAATCGGTTCAGATTTTGATATATATCCCATATGTATTTTTATCTGATTTAAGGTAAATGGTGCGTTAAAATCCCTAAATATCTTTCGTTCAATTTCATGTCAATATTCTTTCGAAAAGGCGACGTCTGTTAGGAGTCTATGTAGAATATACCCAAAGTGGTGAAGGGTATCATATAGTCAGCCCAGTTCGAATTTACTACTTTCCTTACTGGTTTTCTGATTGCTCTAGATACCACAATTTTGAACCAAACGCAACGAAATTTTACACAGGGAAAGGGGTATGACTAAAAAACTTTTTTATCTGTTTTTTCGGTTGCCCTATAGGCAACAATTATGACCCGAACACCACGAAATATTTAGCCAGGAAGGAAATCTGCCCATAGAATAACCATGACTGTTTTAATTAAGATCGGTCAACATGTAGCGGGTCAAATGGAACTTCATGCTACATTTTCTAGCCATCAGCGCTAAATTTTCCTCTAGTATGGTAATGGTAAAATTTTGTATCAATTTAAAGGTCAATTCTTCCTCTTCAATATACTATCAACTTTCACACAAAAGTCTGTCTTTTCAATAAAAAATTCTAAGAATTTTTGTTATAACAAGGACATCGATTTTAACTTTATTTACACAATATAAATGTACAAAAGATATATAAAATAATTATATTAAAAATGATCACATAAATGCCTTTATATACACATTTTTATTTACGATAGTAAATTATTAAATACAAAAACAAAATGACTAATATATTCGATAGAAAATTTACAATAAAAATATTTGTCTAATATCACATTTTTTCTATTTGTTCCGAAATCCAATCCATATGATGTTGAGTGCTAATATAAATACCCGGCACTTTCCCACAACCGTGGCCATAGGAGACGACACCAATCAAATAGTAACGTGTTATACCCTTATATAGCTAAAATAAAATAACCGAATAATTATTTAAAAAAAAAAACAATCAAAATAATTATTTTGAATTTACCTCCGGTATCATTAATGGACCACCCGAATCACCCTGGCATGTATCTGTTCCACCGACGGTGTAACCAGCACATATTATTGCATCACCATAATCTTCATCGGGTACACTGGGCACGAGTCGTTTATAGATTTGACGACAAACTTCATTTGCTTGCACTGGCAATTGAGTTTCCTTTAACACTTGCGACGATGTACCTCCCTGTTCCGTGTTACCCCAACCGGCAACAAATGGCATACTATTCACATAGGATTTTGATCGTAATTGTTCCGAGTTGGGCATACAGATGGGGGCGATTAGATCTGAAAATAAACAAAAAAAGAAATTGTAAAAATATTTTTGTATCTGTTCAGTTGGAAAATGTGGCTGAAAAATTCAAAATATCGAAATTCGAAGGGTATCGTTATATGGGGAATACAGTTCTATATCAATTTAGCTTATTATGATAGAGTTAATTTATGATAGAGTTTTGGAATAGACCCCATACAACGGTATAAACAAACCACACGTTCTGCAAAAAAATCGGCTGTATTTTGGAATCTCATATGATGGCACATTTTTCTCTCAAAAATATAAATATTGGTCCACTGGAAAATTTGACATATAATGGTACCTCCAACTTTCGCTATTTTGGACAATTGGCAGACGTTTTTTTATTTTTTATTGGTTAGTAAATTTCCCTATCAAAAATTCTCAATATTGACTCAAATTCCGTTATAACCCCGATATAACGGTGCCTGTTCTGCAATTTACAGATTTTGGGGACTTTTTTGAACCAAATTGGCCGTAATTTAGATTTTTGGATTCCTCGTGGGATATACAACTTTCCTAACAACACATCAATATTTGTCCAATTTTAAGAGTGGCGCCCAATATAACAGTACCTCTAAATCTTCTGTATATTTGAGATTATAGACAGGTTTCAATTATTTTAGATTTTTATACCCTAAACAACTATGTTTTAAGGGTATTATAGCTTTATGCAGCCCCAAGAGTTTGTAACGCCGAGAAATATTGGTCGCAGGACCACCTTTAAGTACACCGATCGTCATATCTTGACTAGCTGAGTCGATCTAGACATGTGTGTCCGTCCGTCTGTCCATTATAATTTGTAAACTCGATACAGGCCACAGTTATGAACCAATCTTCACGACATTTTGCATGTAGGACCGGTTCTGCCCAATGAAGATCCATATTGTTTTTTGTAAAGATCGGTTAATATTTAAGGGATAAAATGGACCAAATACTTAAATCTTTCAGGTTTTCTGGTCGTTCCAGTGACTGCAATCATGACCCGAACATAGTGAAATTTTACAGGTGGTAGGGGATCGGGCCAAAGAATGAGCATGCCTGTTTTGATAAAAATCATTCAATAATTAGCGGGTCAAATGTACCCTTACTTCTGTGCGTATGTCGTATTATTATTGGGTATAAAATTTACCCACTAAACGATTCTCGTTTTAGTATGACTTCACATAAAACGTATCCCCGATTTTCGGTGACGCACATTAATCGGTATTTTGGATATTTTGGGCACGTCTTCAACCGTATTTCTTATTTGGTATTTTGAATTCTCATGGGGTAAAAAATGCTCTTACCAAAAATTATAAATCTGGCGCCCAATATAACGTTACCTGCCAAACTTATAATATTCGGGGAGTTTGGACATGTTTTGAAACCAAATTGGCATTTTGTTGGTTATTATTGGGTATAACATTTTTTTATCAAAAATGATCAATATAGGGGCAATATAGGATCACGTTTTGGTATAACCTATATATAACCCTATAACCTATCTCTAATTTTCGATATTTTGAGGATTTCAGACATGTTGTTTTCAACCGAGTTTGTTCTATTCAATATTTTGAGTTTTCTTTTCTTTATATACCCTACACCACACTGTGGTCTTTGTGCATATGTTTGTGACAGGCAAAAGGAATAGAATCACTTTCTGAGTCGATTTATGCATGTCCGTCCGTTTGTCCGTCTGTAGGTTTTAAATTGTAAACAAAGTACAGGTCGCAATTATGATCCGATTTGGATGAAATTTGGCACAAGTCACTTATTTGGCCCAAGGATGAACCCTATTGAAATTGAAGAAAATCGGTTTAGATTTAGATATAGCTCCCATATATATTTTTGTCCGATTTAATGTTAATAGTGTACCAAAGTCCTTATATATCTTTCGATTTGTACGAAATTTGGCACAGTGTACTAAATTAAGTTCAACATGATATGAAAATCGGTTCAGATTTCGATATAACTCCCATATATATTTTCGTCCGATTTTATGTAAATGGTGCACCAAAGTCCCAGTATATCTTTCGATTTGCACGAAATTTTGCATAGCGTACTGAATAAAGACTAGAATGATGTATGTTAAGTTTCGTGAAAATCGGTACATATTTAGATATAGCTCTCATATATATTTTTGTCCGATTTAATGTAAATGGTGCACCAATGTCCCTATATACCGTTCGATTTGCACGAATTTGGCACATCGTACTGAAATAAGTCTAGAATGATGTGAGTTAAGTTTCGTGAAAATCGTCCAAGATTTAGATATAGCTCCCATATATATTTTCGTCCGATTTAAGGTAAATGGTGCAGAATGATGTGTAACGTTTCCTCTACATAATTTTATGTTGGGACACCAAAATACCTGTACTTTTGACGAAATTTTATCATTCCTTTCACTTTTTATGTATATTCATTCCTTATTGTTTTTTTTTTTTTTTTTGCAAATTGGTGGATTTTTTCTTAAACCACCATGTAAGAGTGTAGCATAACCAAAGTGATTATATGTTACCATTACAAACATCCGACAACGGTAAAAAACTTCTTCACAGGACATTTTCAATATAAGTCCATATTACTACATAGTCACCCTACAAATCGACATAGCCAATTTCCCTACCTGCATATTTTTCGTTTTCCTGGTATTTTGAACTTAACAAACTTTTTGCTTGTTTTTTCTCACCCTTATGAATGGGTTTTGACCTGAGTATTACACTTGCCAGTAGTTAATCGATGTCTTGATATATCCTAAGAATATCAAAAATGTATTAAGTGTTAAATTTGTTCATAAATTCAAATTTCTGGCAATAATTTCGAATTTCTAATATTTCACATTGAAATACAAACACCTGTGTGCATATATCCTAAGAATATCAAAAATATATTAAGTATTAAATTTCTTCGTAAATTCAAATTTCTGGCAATCATTTCAGATAATTTAATTAAGGATTTCAAAAACGTGAAAACTACAAACATACAAACACCTGTGTACATATGTAATTTCAACATTCGATACATACCTGTAAATTGTACAATTGTCTCCAATAGCAAAATCGCCAAATCGGATCTTCGGTTTTTACCAAATTGGGGATGTGTTGAATGCTAATTACCGATCATCATTGTAGTCATCGTTGTCATCATCGTCATCATCAGAAGTTGATTGTCGGCAGGCAAAATAATGCAAATATAGAATAAAATAATTTCCGTCATAATTTCATTTCATAAAATGGGAAAAAATCATATAATTAAATGAAATTTCATTTAAATATTCTGAAACGTGCAACAACCAACAGTGCAATGCACACCAAATCACAATTTTTGTTCGAAATTTGTAATAACGTATTCAGAGCACTGCAAAGCCATTCAAAATAATATATGATCAAAATGATAAATTGCCTACGAGGGAACCTATTTTTGTTTTTGTTTTTCGCCATTGTTGTAACAACAATAGAACAGTGGTAGCTAAAAATTGTATACACTTTTTATATAGCCTGTTTTATGTGGAAAACTAGGGTATGGAATGGATCAGAATACACTGTGACATAAAAGGGGTCTGGTTCCTTATGGGGATGAAAGCCCTCAGGGATTGATTAAATTGTCTGCTTAAGATGTAATTGGATAGGGTGGTAGACAATATAATTTTTTGTCGTACCATTGTTTACAAATCGGATCCAGTTAACTCTTAAGAAAACAATTTGTTCCATGAGATTGCCTATGTTTTTAGGGTTCAAACAGTAATCATTTTGGCGGATGTAGTTAAGAAGTACAAAGTCGATGTTATTGCTTTACAGGAACTGCGATGGAAATGGACAGGTGTCAGTAAATCAGACGATTACACACTGTATTATAGACATTGTCTCCAGATTTCCTTCCAGTATATGGGCGAATTGCTATAATCCGCATAAATGCAAAGTTCTTCTACATCAGTCTTATTTGCGCCCATGCTCCGACCGAAGTCAAAGATGAACAGACCAAAGACATATTTTACGATCGCCTAGAAATAGCATATGACCGCTGCCCTGGACATGATTCTGCTTGCAGATTTTAATGCAACTATCAAAAGAGAAAATATTTTTAGCCCCACCGTCGGAAATTTAGACTCCATGAAGAAACATCCGACAATGGCATGAAGTTGATTCACTCCGCAGCAGCAAAAAACGTGGTAGTTAGCAGTACCAGATTAAAGCATTCCGATATATACAAGGCCACCTGAATGTCTCCCGATCAAGCAACGAGAAATCAAATTGATCATGATGTGATAGACGGAAGTCATGCAGTGTTTTAGACGTTCGGTCGATCCGAGAAGCGAATATCAATTCGGACCATTATCTTGTGGCAGGCAAGGTTCGCAGCCGTCTTAATATAGCAGCAAAGGTGCAATCTAATGTAACACGGAAACTCGACGTCGAAAATCTACAAACACAGCAGATAGCAGAAGCCTACTCCGCTAAACTTAGCCACCTGTTGACAAAAGCACTCCTTATCCCGATAATAACATAGAAGCAAAATGGCAAAGAATTGCCCACTGCCTACAAACTGGAGCAAAAACAACAATTGGGCACCAAAGACTACCATGAAGAAACCCATGGTACGATCAGGAGTGTCGTAATGTTAGTGAGGTTAAAAACGCAGCGTATAGGGCAACCCTGCAAACAGTAGCAACACGCAATGCGAGAGAGAATTATCGGGAGTAAAGGAGAGGGGAGAAACGTATTTTCAAAAGAAAGAAGAAGGAACAAGAAAAACGTGATCGTGAGCAAATCGAGATGTACATGAGGAGTCAGAATGAAGTCCGGAAATTTTACCAACGAATAAAACACCAAACCGACGTCTTTGGTGCGGACACAGGAAACCTGGTGACAGAGGATCTGGAAGGAGCATTTTGCAAATATTCTGTTATCAAATAGTTGCGGTGAAGAAGATACCCCAGAACCGATTAGATATTACGGTATAGATTGTATACCACCAAGCCCAGATGAGGTCAGAATAGCAATTAATCGGCTGAAGAATAATAAAACAACAGGTGCCGATGGATTACCAGCTGAACTATTCAAGAACCTCAGCATCCTGTGTCCCGTGCACAAAAAAGAAACAAGACGATATGCGCCAGCTTTAAAGTATTTAGTCTCCTTCCCATCGCATATAAAGTGCTATTCAGCGTGGTGTGTGAACGACTGAAGCCAATAGTCAATGACATTATTGGAAAATACCAATGCGGCTTCAGGCCTGGCAATTCCACCATTGGCCGGAATTTCACCCTGTGCCAGATCTTGGAAAAACACATCGACAGATACCACCTATTCGTCGACTACAAAGCCGCATTCGACAGCCCTATCCGTTCAGAGATGTGCAAAATAAATACGGCTATGAAGGATAAAGTCGGAAAGAACCTATCGGAGCCCTTCAATACCGAAAGAGGATTCAGACAAGGTGACCGTTTGTCGTATGACCTGTTTAACATCCTGCTAGATAAGGTCATACGAGATTCAAATGAGAACATAAATAGCCTACGTCGATGACATCGACAAAATGGTTCGAACTTTGCAAGCGGTAACGCCCACCTTTGAACGAAATGAGAAAGAGTCTGCTAACCTTGGACTGGCAGTAAATGGCGAGAACACAAAGCTGATGATATCTGTTGGCCAACAGATTTTACAGATGAGTAAGCAACACAAACTCTCGCAAGACCAAACTCACACTCCACAAGACGCTGATATTACCCAGTATTACATGGGTACTTGCGCAAGCAGATGAAGCAGCTCTTGGAGAGCTTAAGAGAAAAATTCTCCGGAAGATTTTTGGGCCAAGCTGTACCATCATGGATGAGGATGCCCCGGCTCAAAAGGCATATAAAAGCGACCTGATGGTTCACGAAGAAAGGAAAAGACTATGAATTCAATGAAAAGATCATGTAGGAGTCAACATCTCAGAACATGGTATTTTAAATTGGATGAGCTGGTGCTCAATTGGATGAGTAAATACCGTTAAAAAATCTATTTTATGATCTGAATATCCGGTTCAAAAACATATTCTGTCTTGGGGTATTTAGTATACGGTTTAATGAAATAGGAACGAAAAAGACACATAAGGACATCCTGATAGAAGGAGGATATGTTTTACAAAAACTGATTTGACTGAAAATATACCATCTCAAACCTAACCTACAATAGCCGTTAACAAAACTATAAAGCTCTTTCTTGATGAACTTTAGAGTTACCAGCAAAAATTATCAAGCCATGGCTATGGCACATTTGCCTTTCGGGATTCAAAATTTACCCGATAAGAGATGTCCAGATCATGTGTCACAGTGTAATTGGTCGGTGCGCTTCTACTGAGGTCTATATCTAAACATAGATCAACATTGTAAATTTCCTACAAGAAAGATTGGTATTATAGCTAGTTTGATATGTAAATCCGGAAAGAACCCATCAAATGGAATGCAATGTACCCGTAATGTCAATTTATTATTGGAAATGCAATTAAAACCTTCAGAAAATTTATAAAATTAGGAGGTACTAGTTCCAATTTATATTTTAATTCGATTTATGCCTGTCCGTCTGCCCGAAATATTGAGGTACTATGTGGGGATACCCTAAAACGTGCACCAATACTGTTGTTGTAGAAATTTTTGTCCGGTTCTGACTCCTCTGTGTCCAAATTCAGGCCTGCTAATCTAGAGGATAAGACTTGTACCTTTTTCCCTCTCTCTCTCTCTCTCTCTCTCTCTCTCTGTAGATCATAAACATCTCTCCTGACGTGACTGGGTGGGGAAGTCTGGCCATAACCCTCTGACAGGGGTGTTTCCGACGATAACACCCAAGTAGACTCTGCATTGACAACATTTAATTGGGCCGATCGTCTATTCTTCCACTGTGTATCACTTAAACATGCAAATCACACTGGCGCCAAATAGCATACCACTGACCGGTCTAATGCTTTAAAAGAGGTCAAAAAGGTATGCTTGTCAGCACCTCCAGCTTATCGCAAATAGTAGTGACTTGCTCGGACGACTTGAAACGGCTGCCAAAAATTACATATCGAATATCTAGGGGTAGTTGGTGGTCGGAATCTGCTCTCAACCGACATAGGGACGTCGTTCCTACTTCTCAGCTTATTGCAAATAATAGTGGCTTGCTCGCACGACTTGAAAAGTCTGACAAAAATTACACATCCAATATCTTGGGGTAGTTGGTGGTCGGAATCTGCTCTCCATCGAGTATATTGCTCAGTGTGGCTTGGTGACGGATATTTTCATATTCCTCAGACGGAATACAAGTACGCGTAACATTACTGGTCATTTTTCAAAACAAAATGTGCTCGATTGAAAAAACTTGCCCAAAATCACCAATAGGCCGAATATTGCAGAGTTCGGCGTTGTATGGAGGCTATACGAAAACGTGGGCCCAGTAGAGGTGGTAGTAACTAATGTGCAACAAATTAAAGCTATATCATAAATATAATGATATCTATCGTGAGGGACGGATATGGCTAAATCCACATAGAATTTAATTCTGGTCAAGAATTATGGGGTCTTCGAAGAATATTTAGAGGGAAAGGAATGACAAATTGGGTGTAATGACATGTGCTAAGTTTGGTTTAAATCTGCTCAGATGTTAATATTTCACTCGAATATTAGTTCTTATGGGATATAATATTAATCCTTAGAAACCCTCCCTTCATTTTCCCTATATAGATTAGGTTATCAAATTGTGGATCCAGCCTAACTTTGATCCTCCTCTTACTGTTTAAAATTCAAGTAATTTAGCATCTACAGTAATGAATATCAAATATTTTACTCACTTTTACGACATTAACATCCAAATAAGTAGTTTCGGTTTCCGAAGACAAATCAAATTCTCCTAGACGTACAAAAGATCTGAAACGCAAAAAGAAAAATAATACGATTATAGATTTGTTTACATGAAAAAATACACACACATGACATAATGATTTTTTTTCTCGGAAAATTCACTATCACGTATGGATTTCCCCCATTCAATTGTTTTTTGTTATAAAATCATCCCACTTGACGCAATCAAAATCAATATATAATTCCCTTAACATCTCTCCTCCTTTCTTCTGTACTTACAAATCGCGCCGTATACAATGAGCTGCCGTTATCACATGACGATTTGAGATTAAAGTTCCGCCACATTTAAACGGCCGCACACTATAGGGATCATAACCGATTAGGGCCATCCATGGCCAGGCGCCAATTTGACTTTCATCACCGCCAACAATTTTCGGTGCAGTCTGATTGACTAGACCACAGCCATCCTCTTCGCTGGGCAATGACGGAGTATTTTGTTGATTTGTCATTTGTCGACGATTTATATTTCTTCTGTTCGTGGTCGTATCGGAATCACCATTGTCCTCCGTTGGACAACAAACCATGGTATTTTCATTACCGCAACGATCATGAGATCTTCTTAGCTTCGCTTTTATATCTTCATTATCGGGATTTGCCTGCAGTTGTTGTAGAAGTTGGGAACATTCTCGCAGTGCTGAAGAAATGAGGGAAAAGAACGAAACAAATAAAATAAGATTTTAAATTTGATAAAAAAACAATACACATAGTTATTGAATTGATGACAATGGAGCATCAATGAATCAATAGGGTTATTTACCGATAGCGGTCGGGATTCCGACTGTATTCCAATGGACCATCAAACCAGCTGATGTCAATAACATACCCCCGTTCAAACAAAAAGAGCAATGGATCATACTGTATCGACACTCTCCTTCAATCAGCGAAACCTGATTGCTCCGAATTGGTTCGGACTCCTTCGACAGCACTACATATAGTCTTAAAGGAAGCATAACCCAAGAGGTCAATAAAGGAGCAATACAGTCAAGGTTCCGACTGTATTCGAACGGAGCCTCATTTTTTTTTCTCAAAAATCAAAGAGCGTATCTTCAATTATGTTACAACAACTGTGGGAGGGGACTACTTTGCGTTGATCTTCGTTGGCATTAATGAAAATCTGAACCAACAAAACGAATTCCTTTTTAGCCTCATTGAAGAATTCGACAGGAGAGCATCCCAGCTGACATATGGGATGAAAGAAATGCCCCCAAAACCAAAGCAATCCCTTCGGGTGATGATGATGTGACCGCCTTGGCACCCTCAGTCACAAATGCTGGAATATGAATACAGACACGGACTCTTCTTAAAATTCAAAAATCGTATGTTCACCCATGTCGCATCTGCCGACATATGGAATGATACACCAATGCCAGACGAAGAGGATGATGTCGATGTCACTGTCATCAGCACTATACCCTCAAATCGACAGGGGACGTCAGGTATATAAGCTGTGGGAATCCGTCTTAAATACATCCGCTTCAGGCAACAAGCTATAACTTCTGAGGCAAACGACTACAGAGAGGAATTAAGTCAAAAGATCGACAGGGGACGTCCAATATATCAGCTGTGGGTCTGTGCACCTCCAAAGCGAAATCCGTCGGCTTTAGGCGACAAGCCATTTCTTCTGAGGAAAGCGGCTATTGAGGGAAACGAAGTCAAAAGTGGGTGTTTCAAAGCCATTGAGCTATTGAACCCAGGCTGCCCGCTGCTGCACTCGGTGGGAGCGATGGATAGAAAGGCTTGCTACTGCCCCCAACATGATTAGCGAGAAGGAATTCGGCTGGATAATGAAGTACCTAAATGTCGTAGGGAAGTACGAAAAGACTATCCCCAGAAGGTCTCTAGGGATCTTCCGATCGACCGAATTCCTACAACTTCTAAGGCAAACGGCTTCTGAGAGCAACAATTGTGGGTGTTCTGATGTCACTCTGAAACCTTTGCTAGCTGCTGCTACACCCAAAAAAGGAAGCGATGATTAGGAAGGAGTATCAGGGGCAATTTGCTTCTGCCAACAATAAATAGATAAGGATCCAAACATGATTAGCGAGAAGTATTTCAGCTAGATAATGAAGTTCCTAAAGGTCGTGAAAAGTACGAGAAAAACTATCCCCACAAGGCCTCTAGGGAACTCACTCACTCTTGTCTTCAATCTGATATTAATATCTGCCCACGTTTAGCTCCATTTGTAGCTCCTATATCATGGTGCAACCCCATTTTGGGTATTTCAATGTTATAACCACATTCTAACGCTACAGAAAATGCCCGACCTTTTTTAGAATTTTCACTCGACGGAATGTATAAAAAATTCGGCCTGGCCAAATTTAACGCCTTTTTTATTTGTTTTTGATATAATCCGGATTTTAATCACACGTTCCACACGTTATCATTTAATTTTCGAAACACCCCAATAATCACCCGCTTACTTCGTCTTTAATTAATACCACATTATCTATCAACTACTTACGTTTACAAAGTCCCGATGTTGATTCCGTTGTTAGACACAGCACATTGGCAGAATTGCTATTTTTATTTGCAGTTCTGTCTGCATTCGATGTTGGTGCTTCAGTCGTTGTAGTTGTTGTGCTAGTCGTAGTTGTCACTCCTCCACTCCGCTTATGAGTATCAGATGGTGATTCATTCATTGGGGTCATTACCACATGTTTGCAACAGAGCTTTAAGAAAATAACAATTTTTTCTACACATTTCACATTTCTTCCAAACAAACATTTTTTTCTCCTCTACTCACCACCGGATATTGATCGTAGGTTAAACGATTCCCACAACGTCTTTGTAACTCCGACGAATATTGCTTAGCTGAGTTCGTATCCAAACGTTGAAATAATGTCAACACTTCGGGACAATATTTCAGAGAAACACACGAGCCCATATCGCCCAAGGGTGTTTGACAAAAGCTGCCACCACCACCATTCGATGGACCGGGACCATTAATGAAACCACGATGACCCCAACAACCATTCCAACAAACGCAATAGGTAATCAACCATAAAATTGAAGTGATTGACAGCATTTCGAATTGAAATAATATTCGATTTATTAAATCGTTTGACCGTCTCTCTGGTCGTAAACCAACTAAACTAATTCCCTTCGTCCAACTACCAATATCAAAGTGTTCGGATGGCCGTTGGCTAATGTTTTAACCTCTGCGAGAGATTTACTGGAAATTTTTAATTTTTGCATTTGCAATAAAGAATCGTGTTTTTTATTTTTTATTCACTCATTACATCAACACTCCCCGCCCTGCAGGGGGGGAGTATGTCGTATTTATTATCAAATATGTTTTGTTGTTGTTGTTTTTATTTTTATTGGAATTTATAAAATTCTAGCAAAAAAAAACTACAACAACTAAATAAAACAAAATGATGCACATGTGAAGTGGCAAAAATGTCATTATCAGAGAATCTCAATTTTTTGAATGGGATTTTAGAAATTGTTACCGGTTTTTTGAGACTTGCACATGGATCTGATAGTACTAGATGGTATTTTAATAAATCCCCGTATAAAACATAATAAAAAAGGGCCAACTAAAATCAATATTGAAAAATATCCAATTAGTAATTACAACCAATTTCTTTGAAAAGTGGCGCCCAAACTTCGAAAAATACCGAAATATTAGACACAATTATATGTGGGCTACCCTAAAAAGTAGACCAGTATTAAGTTTTGATAGGAAGATTTGACGCCTATGAGAATGCCATTATATGTGAGGGTAGCCTACAAAGTGGTCAAATATTGATACTTTTTGGTAGTAATGAGAATCCCAATTACTAAAATATTGACAATTTGGTTGGAAAACACGCATTTCTTTGTAAGAAACGTTATGCCATTTTTATACCTTACTCAACTATGTTACCAGGGTATTATAGCTTTGTGCAGCCCCAAGAGTTTGTAACGAAATATTGTGTCCGTCCGTCCGTCCGACTGATCTTTTTATTATTTGTAAACATGATACAGGCCACAGTTATGAACCAATCTTCACGAAATTTTGTATATAGGATGGGTTCTGGCCAATGAAGACCCCTTTTGTTATTGGTAAAGATCTGATAATATTTAGGGGATGAAATGGGTCAAATACTTAATTTTGTCGTTTTTCTGGTCGCTCTAGATGCCGCAATTATGGCCCGAACATCGCGGAGAAGGGGATCGGACCAAAGAGTAAGCATGCTTATTTTGATAAAGGTCGGTCAATATTTAGCTGATCAAACGGACGAACGACTTTTGTGAAAAATGACAAAAGTTGTTTTCTATAGCGTATATATTTACTCCTGAAGGACATAGACCCGAAAAGTTGATAGTACATCAAAAAGGAGTGGTAGGCATTTGAATTGATGCCAATTTGTCATATGTGCTTGGATGTGGGAGTTACACGTAAATATTTACAGGCGCTAACGTATTCAGATATTATTTAGTAACCCATTACCGCACTGGAGGGCGGAAATATAGCGCTGATCGCTTAGAAATTTTCCATGAGGATCCAGGTATGATCCAAGGATGTAAATATATGCTATATCTAAACATGAACCGATTTCCATCTAATACTCTATGCAATATTTCATGTAACGCCATCAAACGTAATCTCCTGGGTGTACCATTTGCATGAAATTGAACGAAAATATATATGGGAGCTATATCTAAATCTCAACAGATTTCAACAAAAATTAGCATACGTCTATTTGGACCTAATTCAGTATTGTCGCAAAAGAAACAAACCTTGGGAGTTTAGAGCACCATTTACCTAAAATCGAACGAACTATATATGGGAGCTATATCCATATATGATCCGATTTCAATGAAACTATCTCAGTTTCATACGTTATGACAAATTTTGTCTCAATCGGACGTAAATTGGAAATTTGGTGCAACATTTACATAAAATCGGACGAAGCTATATATGGGAGCTATATCTAAATCTGAACCAATTTCAATGAAACTTAATACACTCTATTGTAGTCTCAATTCCATAAGTTATGCCAAATTTTGTCACAATCGTACAAAAATTTTGATTCATCTACAAAAAATCGGACGAAGCTATATATTGGAACTCTCAATTTAATACGTTACGCCAAATGTTGTCTCAATCAGACAAAAATTGGGAGTTTGTTGGACCATTTACAAAAAATTGGACGAACTATATATGGGAGCTGTATCTATATATGATCCGATTTCAATGAAATTTAACACACTCTATCCTACTCTCAATTACATTCGTTATGACAACTTTCGTCACATTCGAACAAAAATTACTTAAAATCGGATGAATTTATATACATGGGAGCTATATCGAAATCTGAACCGATTTCAACAAGACTTGGAATTTATCAAACTGGACCTAATTCAGTACTATGTGCAAAATTTTGCCTCAATGGGACAAATATTGGGAGTTTGGCGCATCATTTACATAAAATCGGACAGTGTGCTGAATTTATTTTTCACCAACCGAATAAAATTCAAATCTATCAAGATTCGACATTTTGTCTCGACTCCAGTAGTATTGGGCAGAAAACCTCCCCACCAAAAATAAATAATATTGGCCCAAAATACCGGGTAGCCCTCATATAATGGTAGCCCACATTATTCAATATTTTGGGCATGTTTTTCAACATAGTCAGCTTATATTTGGTAGTTTGGCTTCTCACTACTAAAAATGATCCACTTTTTAAGGTGTCCCTATAAAAGGGCAAGGGGTGTTTGGGAACCTTTTTAACCAAATTGGCTGTGATTTTATATTTCGGATGACTATTGAGAAGAAAATATCCCTTTCAAAATTTATCAATAATGATCCTAGTATCCTCCATTAAAAAGTGTGGTTTCAGTCGAATTTTCAGGTTGTCATGGGATTTTGTTATAGCTCGCATATAACAGTCCCGACCCATATTCTATACATTATGATATTTTCCCACCTATGTGGCATATATATCGTAATTATCATGTAATTTACATTTTTCTTATTTTGGAGAGCAAAACATATTTTTACAGAAAATTGCCTATATATAGGTCCAAGCTTTGATATAGCTTTCACGTAAAAGTCGCGCTCTATTTTCATTATTATTAATTTTTAATAGAATAGTCGAAAAACTTCTTTCCAGAAATTATCCAATATAAATGAATGTTAAAAAAAAAACACCATAAAAATGTCCCTTTTCCAACATGAGTGTCTGCAAATACATCGGGGTTTTGTAAACGGAATGTTAAATTCAATATATAAAATAAAACCCCTAATAATTGAAACCCCATACACACGTGCTGCTAATTTTCCTATTTAGCAGACAATTACACACACCCTCAAGTCCATACCTATAAACGTTTTTTTATTTTATAACTCATCATCTTTTTAATCTTTATTCGTCTAAATTTATATCATATTTTGTTTTATCCATGGCATGTAGACAGCAACTCTCGTGTAGACACCAGGAAACCCCGTGCGTGCACATTCATAGCCATACGAAACGGTGCCAAGTAAAAAGTAACGATAGGTGGAGCCCACCAACTGCAAAAGGCAAAATGAAACAACAAAAAATAAATTTTCCCAACCTAATTATTTAGATGAATCACTAGACAGCATTACCACGCGCAGGTGCTTACATACACACACACATATGTATGGTTACATACCTGAGGCATCATCAATGGACCACCGGAATCCCCTTGACAAGCATCCACATTGGAATTACCAGCACAAATTACCTAAAACCAGAACAAAAAATCAAAATCAAAGTATTATTTTCATTTTTTGTTTTTTTTAGTTTTTTTTTTGCTTTGTGTTTTGATCGCGTTTTCCAAACGAACCTTATCACTGAACTGCACGAAATTAAAAATGGTTCGATAACTTTGTTCGCACGACTGTCGACTAACAATTGGCACTTGAACATCCATCAACACATTGGAGGTAATGCCTTGATGTTTATTAGCTCCCCAGCCGGCTACAAACGGGTTCATACCAACAAAGTCTTGTGTTAAGAATGTCGAAGATTCCGGTAAACAAATCGGTGCTATGAAATCTAAATTTGGAATAGAAAAAGAAGAATTATAGTTATTTATATTTGTTGTGTAATAGTTAAAAAAAACGTATAAAAGTTCGGACAGGGGTCTCTTTTTATAACCTTCAAAATGAGGTAAGCATTCAACATATTTCGAAGGCCTTATATGGGGTCTATGTTAAAATATGGATCTACACTGTAAGTATACAGAAATTTCGGTTGAAAAACGCGTCTGGGCTCATGAAAACACCGGAAATGAACAAAGCCTTTTTATAAGAGGTCATGTCAAAAAATGGATTTATTCTGACCATTTACTTCGAAGATATTTTTCAACCTCCATTTTTATAACCTCCACAATGAGTTGAGTTAAAACATGGATCTATGTGGGACAAAACTTTTTTTGTAGGTTAAAAATATGGATCTATAATGACAATATAGATATTTTTCATCCTCCTAATTTAGCCACTTCGGTTGGAAAATGCGGATAAAAGCTTTAAAATAAGAAAATTGTATCTGCATTCATTGTTTCTTCATTTCAAACACTGCTACTGACCTATTTATTGGTGTTCTAGAATTCGCATATGCATTTTCCAAATGCGTTGTTGTTTTTTACTCTCTCTCTCCGATAATGAACCTGTATTTAAAATTTTATGTATTACATTCCTAAAATTCAGAAATCCTGATATATCGGAAGATATATTTTTCAACTTCAAAGAACCCGAAAAAGTACAGCCACATAGCTTAGAAAAATTTTGCAAATGTTTATACCCTTCCTTACACTGTGGTAGTTCCTGTAGACACTGGTTCCTCTTGAGAATATGCATAGACTCACTTTTTAAGTCGATTTGTGCATGTCCGCCCGTCCGTCCGTCTGTTCGTCCAAGTTAAATTGTAAACAAAGTACAGGTCTCATTTATGATCCGAATTGAATGAAATTTGGCATAGGTCACTTATGTGGCCCAAGGATGAACCCTATTGAAATTGGGAAAAATCGGTTCAGATTTAAATATAGCTCCCATATATTTTTTCGTCCGATTTAATGTAAATGGTGTACCAAAGTCTCTATATATCTATCGATTTGCACGAAATTTGGCACAGCGTAATGAATTAGATCTAGAATGATGTGTGTTAAGTTTCCTGAAAATCGGTCCATATTTAGATATAGCTCCCATATATATTTTCGTCCGATTTAATGTAAATGGTCCAATCGGCACAAAATTTTGCACTACGTACTGAAGTTACTATAACATAACGTGTGGCAAGTTTAGTTGAAATCGGCTTAGATTTATCAGTCAATTTGGTTGTATTTTTAAAGTATTAGCCATATTTTCCATCCGAAGTACCTGTAATTTGTCATCTCGTGTTTTCGAATAGTGACCAATACCTCTACAGAAAATATTTAATATGGATACATGTTTTGATATAGCCACCCATATATAAGGAGAGGCTTATTTTCGGTGTTTACAAGGTTTTAACCGCATTTTCCAACCGGATGACATACATCTATGCTGAAAACCTTTACTGTCCGTCCACGTTTTGGCGTAGTCCCTATATGAAGTTTCCGCTTCATTTTCGGTATTTTGAAGGCTTCATTTTCCCACCGAAGGGGACTGTAATTTGGCATTCCAAGTTCTAGAAGTTCGAAGGACATCTTTTTCTATATAGGTCTATGTTTTGACACAGTCCCCATATGAATGTTCTGCTTCATTTTCGTTGTTTTGATGGTCTTATCCTCATTTTCCCACCGAAAGGGCTGGAAGTTTGTAGTCCAAGTTCTTAATGTTGGATGGACATCTTTTCATAACCACAGGTACCGGCCCATTTTTTGGTATTTTGAAGACCTTAGACGCATTTTTAGCCGTACCGAAAGGGCTGTGAATTGACATCCCATGTTTTCGGAGGGTGATTAATACCTCGGCTGAAATCGTTTAATATCAATATTTGGAACACCCCCCGCATAACGCTTCCATTTTTGGTCATTTTTAAGATCTTAGCATTATTTTCCAACCAAAGTACTGTAATATGGAAATCCATGTTTCCAGAGGGTGAGCAATGTCTATGCTGATATCAACTCGTTGTCAAAGGCCCCATATAAAGGTCCCGAACCAATTTTAGAATCTTGAACGTTTTAGCATAATTTTCTAACGGAAAATGCATTCTATGGTCTTGGAGAGTAAGCAGCAGTTTTTTGCAGAAAATTTTCGATATAGTCAATGTTTTGACATAGCCCTCATGCTCCGGTCCAATTTTTGAAATTTTGAAGGGTTTAACCAGATTTTCCCAACCAATGTGGCCATAATTTGAGATTTCAGGTTCTTGGAAGGCGAACAACTTTTTTCAGAATATGTTGGGCATATATGTATATTTTTTTCGAATGCGGATAAAACCTTCCAAACATAAACCTATATTGAATATTTTCTATTTTCCCCCTCTAAGATCATTGGATGGCATATAAAAGCAACTTCTGTAGAAAAATTCTGTCGTAGCCTTAAAATTACCGAAAATGCAACGGAACTTTTATGTGGTTCTTATAGGCAATGTCAAAGCCTGTATAAAATGCGTTTCAACTTCCAGTATTGGGAAAGTACTGAAAATTATATATATCCAGTTTTTTTTACATAGTCTTCTATGAAAGTATGGTCCAATATTCGGATAGCTTGAAGGTATTAGCTGCAAAAACTTTGACATTCCGAGTTCTTGAAGGTTTATTTCTGCTAAATTTTTCCTTCAGATTCATGTTTTGACATATCACCTATATAAAGATAACATCCCATTTTAGGAATTTTTAGGTCCTATGCGCATTTATTACCCAAATCGGTTGTATATAGCTTATCAGGGAATGAAATACTAATTCAACATTTTTGTTTTTCGATATTTCACATTATATACCGAAAAACAAATATAGGTCCAGCTTAATTTTCGATATTTTTCAGAGCCCAAAAAACTATTACCGGACATTTTTCAATATATAGTTTGGCCTTTTAAAGCAATTTTAAATCCACATCATGGTGGAGAGTATAAAAAGTTCGACCGGCCGAACTTAAAGACCTCTTTACATTTTTAATTAATTAAATATTACATCTTCTGTTTCTTTTCTGGATTAAAATAATTTGGCAGGACTTTGATGTACCTAACCTAACTTTTAAGATTTCTGTAAATTTTATAGCTCACAGACCCCCAAAACAAATTCCAAACTTACTTGTCATCACAACATTCGGTGATACTTCAATCAATGCTATATCATTAGCTATAGTTCTCAAATCGAATTCCTCGTGAACTTTGGTACGGCGAACACTATAATCCGCTGCATTGGGTTCGGCTGGATTCGAAAGGTCATGGGCACCCAAGCGGACCAATATCAAATTCGTATTAATACAATGCGCCGAGGTTAGAACATATTTCGATGATATTAAACTACCGCCACATAAAAATTTTATTGTGGTTGGATTGAGTTCATCACGATAGCCCAAGGCTGCCATCCAGGGATAGGCTCCTATGGAAACAAATAATAATATTACTGATACAATTCTATGAATAAAATTTAAAATTACTCACCTCTCCTTGCTTCTGTTCCGCCCACAACACGATTTGTATTACCACGACTTATGCCGCATGTTTCCATTGTAGCTTGCGAAGGCGGTAATTGGTTGGTAGGTCCTACAGGAGATGTTGGCCGTGGTGTAGTGAGAATAATTGGTCCCACCGGTTGTTGTGGTATGGGTTGATAAACGTTTGTTCCACCACTGTTAACTGGTGGCTGTGGTTGTGGCTGATACACTGTAGTTGGCGTATTTGAAACACCGGGATAGCTAACCTGTGGATATAACATAGCCGGTGGTTGTGTTGTTAATGTCTGAGTATTTGAGTTATAATTTCCCAATGACGAAAACAGGAATACTTTTGATGGATACGCTGGCGTTGGCGTTGTACTAAAGGACATAATCATTTGTGATTTTGATGGTGGCGTTGTTCTATGGGAAGTTCCGCAGCAAATCTAGGGGATTAACGAATATTTTCAATTTAATTTTGTTTTTATTTGGGAAAATATCCTTTATTAAAAACTGAATTCTAAGCAAGTCCGGAATATCAAATTACAGACACATCGGAGCCTTGTTTGATGTAGGAGTTATGTCAAAAGATGGATGAAGATCGACATTTTTTGTTCACCCTCTAAGAACCCAAAATCCCACATTACAGCCACTTCGGTAGATAAATGCGGATAAAATCATCAAAATATTGAATAGTTTATGTGAAGATGTAAAAAAACCTCTAGAACACCCGAACCTTAAAAATATGCAAAATTTGGCGGAACTGTGGTGGTTATGTCAATACTTGGACCAATATGAAAAAAAATTCCGCGAAAATATGTTTCACCCTCCATGAACCCATAATGCCATGTTGCACTTCCCACTACATTGGGAAATTTCAGATAATTATCAATATATGTATACACATGGGTCCATGTTTTGACATTATCTCCTATCGATACGTTTATAGGAGACATTTTCTGTATTTTGAAAGTGTTAGCCGCATTTTCCAAACGTAGTGGCTGTAATTTAAAATACCGAATTCTTGAAAAGTTGAAAAACAAATTTTTGCCTTAAATCTGCGAACATTTTGCTGACAGAATTCATGTGGAGGCTATATCAAACTTTGAACCTATATGGAACATTTTCTGAACAAAAATGTGTTTCACTCTCCAAATTACAAATTACTGTCACTACATTGGGAAACTGTCACTACATCTGGTCAATTTGAATTTGCCAAGTCTGGAGCCGCATTGGTATGGTCCAATAATGTCATTGACCATTGGCATCAGTCGTTCACACAGCACGCTGGATAGTACTTTATAGTTGGCACATATAGTCTTGTCTCCTTTTTCTTTGTGCACGTGACACAAGATGCTGAGGTTCCAATCATTCGGCATGCATTCCTCTAGCCAAATTGTACTAATCAGCTGGTGCATGCTCCTGACCAGGATCTGACCACCAGTCTTGAATAGTTCGGCCGGTAACCCATCGGCGCCTGCTGCATTATTATTCTTCAGCCGATTGATTGCTATGCTGACCTCATCTTGGCTAGGTGGTATATACTCTATATCGTCATCTCTTCACCGCTACTATTTGATACCAAATACCCCTCCAGATCTTCAACACGCTGTCTGTATCTGTCACTAGGTTTCCTTCTTCATCTCTACAGATGGAGGTGCCTACACTAAAGCCTTCGTTGTGACGCCTGTACATCTCGATTTGCTCCCGCTCAAGTTTTTCTTGTTCTTTCTTCTTTTTTTCTGAAAATACGTTTATCCTCTCTCTTTCACCCGATAATTCTCTCTCGCATTACGTGCTGCTACTGTCTGCAGATTTTCACATCAGCAGCATTACGACGCTCCTGATCGAACCACGTGTTGATTTTGCTGCAGTTTGTAGGGAGTGGGCAATTCTTTGCCTTTGTGCTTCTATATTATTATTGGGACAAGGAGTGCTTTCGTCAAGCAGGTGGGTGGGTGGCAGGCGGAGTAGTCTTCCGCTACCTGTCGTGTTTGCAGCTTTTCGACGTCAAATTTCCGTATTGTGTTAGATCGCACCTTTGCTGCTACATTAAGGCGAGTGCGAACCTTGGCTGCTACAAGATAGTGGTCCAAATCGATATTCGCTCCTCGGATCGATCGAACGTCTAAAACACTGGATGAATGCCTTCCGACTATCACAACTTGGTCGATTTGATTTTTCGTTATTCGACCGGGAGAAATACAGGTGGCCTTGTGTATATCGAGATGCTTGAATCTGGTGCTGCTAAGTACCATGTTTTTTTTGCTGGTGCGAAGTCAATCAACCTCATGCCATTATCTGATGTTTCCTCCAAATCGAAAACTGCGCTTGTTTTGTCAGCGTGCGCACATTCCGAGTGGATATTCGCAGATCATGGTCCTTTATGCGTTTGCGGTGGTCGTCGGTGGTTCGTTGCTTTTTCATAGTATTGTTTTTTTCGAGTGTGGGCAATTAAACGACGCCTCAACCCATTTTTATGGGTGAAGTCATCTCACTATTTCAACCCAACCCCAATTGACACCGAGGGGAGGTCAGTATGTACAATTGATATGTAAGAGGGACCAAGATAAGCCTGGGTTCCGCCCTGTTAAGCCAATCAGAGTCGTTGATTGGTATCTATAATCCCCAAGATAGCCCCCTTATAGCGACGTGAAATTTTTGCCAGCGGACCCCCCCCCCCCAATAAAATCCTGTATACGTTCCTGTAAACCTCATGCCATTATCTGATGTTTCCTCCAAAGCGAAAACTGCGCTTGTTCTGTACAATGTGCGCACATTCCGAGTGGATATTCGCAGATCGTGGTCCCATTTTTTATAGTTCTTGTGGGTGAACTCAGCTCACTATTTCAACGGGTGATGAAAATAGCTACCCCAACTGACACCGCGGCGAGGTCAGTGTGCACAATTGATATGAAAGAGGGACCAAGATAAGCCTGGGTTTCGCCCTGTTAAGCCAATCAGAGTCGCTACGACGTGAAATGTTTGCCACAGTAAATTTATGTTTGCAACAGTGATTTTTTTTAATTTTGTACCAGCGGACACCCCCAATAAAGTCCTGTATACGTTCCTGCCCCCTTATTAAGGTTCCGTGTCATTTGTGTACTTTTAAGGTGGTACAAAAATTTTCCCATTTTCAATGACATAATCACCATATAAAGTTCCCCACCTTTCTTGGAAATTCTAAGGCACAAAACACGGTGGAGGATATAAAATCTTCAGTCCAACCGAACTTAATGATGTTATTCTTGTTTTTCTTTCAATAGAAAATGTTATAAAGTATTCTTGTGTATAGCGTAAGTCTCCTAGGCCCTCTATATGTTTTCTATAGATATATACCGATTTATAATTCCTCTATAAATTCTCTTTTCAACATTTTACTTACCAAAAAATTCATGCCATCAAATCCGCAAATAGAATTACTCATAAACGTTTGAAAATCTGCTGCATATGATGTTTTACGAATTTCGTCGTAATATTCCTGGACCATATCGGGACACATTGCCAGTGTAACACATCGTCCTGCGCGTAAACGTGAATCGACACAATCCTGAGCTAAAAAGAAAACAAAAACAACAACTAATTTTTGATACACAAATACTAATTTAAAAGACCACACCTTGATTCGGTTTCTTCAAAATCTTGATGGGATTAACCGTAGATGTTGGGGTGTTTTCTTCGCGTTTTGATGAATCGGCCAATAAAAAGGCCATTAAAGATATGAGATGTAGATACATTATGATATTGATTAAGATGCGATCATATTTTTTTAATGATAAGGATGTTTAAGATGAAAATAAACAATAATGCACAGTAGGTACGCATAGGTTCTCTGTTTTATAAAGACTAGTTTTTTATTTATTTTCTGTTTTTATTAAATTTTAATAAAATATATTTTAATAAATAATATTATTTTTTTTTTTTGAAAAACACACAACACAAAATTTTTTTTTTTTAAATTTCTTGGCCTATTTGCCTTCAATTTTCCGCATAACGCCGTTTTCGCCTTCTACTATTTGACACTGGTAAATGCGAGAATATCATAATTTCCGAACCCGTTTTCGAACTTTGTGCTTTTGCGGCTGCCGCCGATCGAAACTCTAAACTTTGTATATCCAACATTTCGACCAATTGTTCACTTGTCATCGGTTGACCGGATGTTTGTTGTTCATTCATTTGTTGTTGTAGGGCTATTAATTGTTCACTGGTCATTAATTGGTCGCTCATCATGGTTTCGGCGCCCGATGGCTGTTGTTGACTTGATGCAGCAGAATTCATTGAATGGCTTATTGTCAGTTGACTCATCATGATCGGTTGGCTGGCCGTTGCTACTGCTGCTGTGGGTTGGTTCATCATAGCCTGTACCGCCATTTGCTGTTGCTGGGCCGACATTTGTTGCCTTGGATCTATACAAGGACAATATGCTATGGGACGATCACCGTTTGCCAAACATACCAAAGGTACGGCAGGACATGGCGGTAGGGTTGAAACGGTTGCCATTGTTGTTGTCGTCGGCATTGGTGGTGTTGGCTGATATGTGGGAATGGTATATGGCGGTGTAGGCAACACTGTTGGCGGTATTGGAGATCCCGGTGGCGGTGGATATACCGGACAGATACCCTTAATATTGGCCAAATACGACAGAAATGGCCAGAAATAAATTTTCAAACAGAAATCATCGAACAACATTTTGGCACTAAAATTAAATGTGAATTCCATGGTGCCGGCCGGTCACTCGCTCGATCACTGCAACGATCACTCTAACTATTCGCCAGGTATGCGACGGTGTGGCGTTTGATTTACAACTAAGCCTTGAACTGGAGCTGAACAATTGAATTAACGCTTAACAATAACGGATGGCAATGGTTGACAGCTGTAATTAAAAATTATGAATTACGAAGCGACAGAACAGCCATCCATCCATTCATCCACCGATTATTAAACACTTTGACCAAAATTAGAATGGCCACAAACAGTGACACAATTCAAATAAAACATCAGCAACAACAAAATCTATTAAAACGCAATGAAAATGCATAATTACACTTACATACTAGGTATGTTATTATGTTCAAAACGTAAAATCAGGGACGTCGAGCATACTATTTTAGGTCATTTTAAGGGAGGGTATTTATTTTTATTATTATTATTATTATTTTTTGGAAAACATAGTTAATTAGCGATATGTCACAAATATATACCAAAAGTATGAAAATGTAATGGAAAGTCGTTGACAACCATCGTTCACGATCGACATAAGCAGCCGAACGGAAATTAGCATTTCTGGTTACCATTATTACCCTATTAAAAATTATCCCCGTTACTACTCTTGCAGACATAGTGACTTCCACAAAGCATTGCCATTTTGGGCGATTAGTTGCTGTTGTTTTTCATATTTCCATGTGAGATTATTTTGTCTTTCATGTTTGACCTCGATTTCGTGATCCCTGGAGATTCCGCTCAAGCGCCACTCAGCATATGCCATGGCACAATAAATAGGTAGTCCCATGGCACAATAAATAAGTAGTCCATTTAGCTCAGCTGATGTCTCGATTAACTGTCAAAGTGCTTAATTTCTACTTGAATTCGATGTGCAGAGTTGCCAACCATGTGAAATATTATATGGAAAAATTTGGCAGAAGATCGAGACAAAAACAAAGTTTTTGTTGTGATACATCACCTTATTATTGCATCATGGGTAGTCCATTTAGCGCAGCTGATGACTTGATTTACTGTCAAAGTGCGTAATTTCTACTTGAATTCGATGAGCAATGTTGCCAACCACATGAAATATTATAAGGAAAAATTTGACAGATGGTCGATGGTTCATGGCACTATGAATAGGTAGTCTATTTAGCGCAGTTGATGTCTCGATTAACTGTCAAAGTGGGTAATTTCTACATGAATTCGATGTTCAGTGTTTTGTTTTGATACATCACCTAATTATTGCATTATGGGTAATTTCTATATGAATTCGATGTACAATGCTGCCAACCACGTGAAATATTATAAGGAAAATTTTGACAGAAGATCGAGACGAAAACAAAAGTTTGTGTTTTGATACATCACCTTATTATGGAATCATGATCGAGATAAAAACAATTGTTTTTGTTTAGATACATCACCTTATTATTGTATCATGACATATGCTATGGATATTTTTCTTAAGATGTAGCCACCAACCTATTTCTTACGTTTAATCAGCTTTTGTATGGTTTCCTGGTTCGTTAGGTTTCACAACTCTATGTTACTTATGATGCTGGGCCAGAATATCCTGCATAAAATCCTGAGGTATTCACTCGAATGATATCTTTTATTTTAACATCTTTCATTCGAAGCCATGGCAGAATGAATTGGTAATCCATTTAGCGCAGCTGATGACTTGATTTACTATCAAAGTTGCCAACCATGTGAAATGTTATATTGATGGTCGAGATCATGATGCAATAATTAGGTGATGTATCACAACAAAAACCTTTGTTTTTGTCTCGACCTTCCGTCAAATTTTTCCATATAATATATCACATGGTTGGCAACTCTGCACATCGAATTCAAGTAGAAATTACGCACTTTGACAGTTAATCGAGACATCAGCTGAGCTAAATGGACAACCTATTTATTGTGCCATGGTCGAGACAAAAACAAAAATTGTTGTTTTCATACATCATCTTATTATTGTATCACGATTCGTAGCATTTAAATCTTAAAATCGAATTGATTGTCGATAATCATTTACAATTATACTACTTGCATTTTACTATATACAAAATAATACAATACTGTCAAGAACAGCCCTTGGGTCCAACGTCTTATATTACAGGCTTTAATGACTTGATCATAAGGTATTTGTGAGATATGACAGCTTTCAATATCTTTTATCACATATCGATCACTCGGAAGAACTTTACTAACTACACAATGCACTTTATATATCGGCAATAATCCCGTCACCACATTTATATGAATTTACTAAGCATCATTTTGTCTTCGCTCACTGTTCATTATATTTTTGCGATATTACAGCCTCTGCTTTATTTCCTATTTCCTGAATTTTTGGCAATGGTATCAACCTAAATAATTCTACTACAGTTCGGCTAATCTGACGAGTTTGACCTATCCTCTATGAGGATTTATTTGATTTATATGCAATGGAATTGATCATTTAGATCTACTGAATTTACTAAACCCGATACAACGTAAATGATCTATAAATTTTCTTAATGTTAATATCAAGTCCAACATTTCCACACAGTCTCTCCAGGTCTTCTAATTTTTACTGCAAGGTTGAAATCTTGTGATAGAGAAGACAAATATCATCCGCATACTCCAAGTCTTCGAGTTGTCATGAGATACTCCACGTTATGCCGCTTCTCTGAGAGCAGACTTCATTCTTTATTTGATCCGGTAAAATTGTGAACAGTAGGAGCAATAAAGGGCATTCTTGCCGAATTGACGATAAAAAGGTAGGGTGCAAATTTGAAATAGTAAGGTGATGTATCTAAACAAAAGCATATGTTTTTTATATTCGACCATCTGTAATTTTTCTTATGGTTGGCAACATTGCACGTCGAATTCAAGTAGAAACAATACACTTTGACAATTAATCGCACAGTCAGCTGTGCTAATTGGAGTACCTATTTATTATGATGATTATCTATCAAATGTTATCTAGTAAAATGGTTTGCAACATTTCACGTCGAATTCAATTAGAAACTAGGCTCTTTGACTGTTAATCGTATAGTCAACTGCTCTAAATGGACTATCGCCTAATGATTGTACCATGATGCAATGATAAGGTGATGTAAGAATTTGTTTTTGTTCCGACCATCTGTCAATTTTTTTTAATAATATTTCACATGATTGGCAACATTGCACATCGAATTCAAGTAAAAACTATGCACTTTGAAAGTTAATCGAATTGCCAGCTGCGCTTAATGAACTACCAATTTATTGTGCCATGGTTGTGTCCATGATGCAATAATAAGGTGATGTACACCAACAAAAACCTTTCCTTTTGTCTCGATTATCTGTCAAAATTTTCCATATAATATTTCAAATGGTTGGCAGCACTGCACATCGAATTCAAGTAGAAATTACCCACTTTGACAGTTAATCAAGACATCAGCTGCGCTAAATGGACTACCTATTCATTGTGCCATGGTTGTGTCGTTCCGAAACGAATTAGTTAAAAGGAACTATTCCACGAAGGGAACGATTGGTACTAGGTCCGGTTCTTTCATTCACTTCGTTCAGTTTGATCCAGTCGTTTCATTTCACTCTCGTTCACCTAGTTCATTGACCGAATTAATTGAATTGAACTATGAATGAACTAGTTCGTAGACGGGTTTGGGTAGAATTATGCCTCGCCGATTGGAAGGCATAAAATTCTATGTAGATGTCCGTCTCTTTTTCTTATAGTTGAAATCCCGATAGAAATTGCAATAATTAAAATAGAGCTCCAAAATTTTACACAGACATTGCGGGTTCAACTAGGATGTTTGGCATTTCAAATTGTATATATCGGTTCACGTATAGTAATATAGTCCCCATATGACGACATTCTCATTCGAATTGGCTTTAATTTGGTATTTTGAATACTCCTTATGTACCGAATTTCCCTACCAAAAATTAATATTAACCCAAGGTTCAGAATTAACTACACTCTTCATTTTTCGGTCTATTTCGGATTGTTGCCCTAGTTTTTTTTTAACCAGATTGGGTTAATTTTATATTTAGA